CAGATGGCCTCTCTCTGTAAGCAACTCATGAAAGTTTTTTTTTTCATGATTTTTTTCATGCCTATCAATTTTTTGAGCTTCTGGGCCCTGAGATCTCCAATATAAAAAGCAGATCCCAGTCAGCATTAACAAGAAAAATAAAATTGGAAATCAAAATTCTAATTGCACTAAGTATTGGACTTCCCTTTCATCTGGATTCTGCCTTCCGCAGAGCAATTATTACTATGTCCAGATCTCATGGCTGGAATCTAAATAACTTAGCTACAAGCAGTACTTTCACTTTGTACTTACTTATCCTCCACACTTACTGAGGTCTAAACAAGCTGCAATAAAAACCCTTAGTATTTTAAAACCAGTTTACTTTTATAAAAGTGTGCACAAAACTCATGAATGGAGAGCTACTGCATATGCTAACAGAGAAGGAATTTTAATTCCATAACTTAAGTCTTTAGGAAGAATTCAGGCTCAACATTTTCAGCACTGAAAGCAGGGCAAAGAAGACTACAAAAGTGATTACCCTCTTCCTCAGACTGTATTGGTAATGTGATCAACTTAAATTTCACCCAGTATTTTGTAGTATTAAGATCATCAGGAAAGTTTAATGGTTCAGTCTAAATGAAGACAACAAGCTTCTTTAAACAAATGAATATTCCAATGCAGAGTCTGAAACAAATCAGTATTCAATCAATACCCTCAAGATTAAAATTACTTCAGTGCTGTATAGCCTAACTGCATAGAAATTCAGCACAAAATAAAAATGATGAATAAAAAGCTGGATTTTTATAAGGTAGCTCAAAAAATCTTTTAAATCAATAGCAGTAACACCTATATCTCACCAGGCTTTGATATATATTGGATTAGATCTTTAACATATACCTAGTATCATACTAAAGAATTTTAGTTTTCCTGTAGGGTGAATTCTACAACAAGGAGCCTTTTAGCATTATATGTAGCCACGAACCCTAATATTAAAAACCGCTTTGCTATGTGTCCTTAAAAGAAGAGTGTGATTTGCAGCAGCTTTAATATACAAGCCCATTTGCTGAGAACTTTAGAGTAAGGTACTCTAAAGTATGATGGAAATGTCGTGAGAAACTTGGCCGGGGGAGGTTAAAATAAGTGTGAATAAGATGTAAATGTGTACTTTGGCTTTCGGCTGCAGCTTTGCCTCTTCATGATCTGGTCACACTTCTCAATTTGATTTGCAGCAGTTCTCCCACAGATTCCATGGTCAAGAGAATCCCTGTGCACGGCAACTAATTTTAGATAACGCCTTTTATCATTTGATAGACTCCTCTGCTCTGAGTAAAGCCTAGTCCACCACGGATCTTCCGTGGGGTTTGACCATTTAATTAACCAGAGGACAATTTCTAGAGCTAACACGATGCCTTTTACATTTATCCGCGCCTCACGAACACCCCGCGGTTCCATTTCCGCACACGGGGAGTTTTGATGCATCTTTAACGAGGAGCCGTGTCTCCGCTGCGCCCCCCTCCCACGAAAGGGGTTTCCCCGGGCTGTGTGCCCTACTACCCGGGCGTCGAGGAGGTGCCTGCGGGCTGGGCTGGGCGCAGGGCAGGGCCCGCAGGGCAGGGCAAGGCCCGC